CAGTTGTGAACCCGTGGCTGGTGTCCTGTCTGCAGTGTCTGGCATGTGGGCACTGAGCGCCTAGTGCCCAGAGGACTGGAGACTCTGGCCCTGAGAAGGCTTCGCCCCCAGGCTGGCAGAGCCACCACAGGGCATTTACAGCCAGGGACCCCGGGTCTTTCCGACTGGTGCTTCTGCCCCAGGGGTCATGGTGCCTGCCTGTTTTCATCTCTAGTTGATTTCCCAATGCCAGAAATGTTATGACAAACATGGACACTCACACCTCCAAAGTAAGTAATGTGGCACCTGTAGGGGATTTATGTGCAGGTGTTCTGTACCTGGAATGTCTCTAGGGAAGGAAGTACCTGAGAAATCCGGGCAGGTGGATGTTTCCTTGCCTTGTGACATACATATTCATAGCAGTGTTCCCTGGGGAGCTGGCACTAGGGCGGGCAGGTCAACCGTAACGTCCTGCTTACGACTGTCCTTCCTCTTGCGATGGCCTTCTCTAAGTGGGCCCAGTCATGCCAACCTGAACAGGGTTCTGTGAACCATCTCCACTATTCATGAAGCTTGGTGGGACTCCCCCTGCCCCCACACCTCCTCAGTTGAACCTGAGGCATATTTGTTGCATTGAAGCCTCAGGAGCCTCACGGGTGGGGGCCTTTGCTTCTGATGAGCCTCATTTGAGTCCTGTGTGTCATCCTAAATTCTGTTTTTAAGCACCATTGAAGGGCAGCCCTCAGGCTAGGAAGGCAGCCTGTGGGTTAGGGCCCTGGGGGCTGAGGGGGTTTGTTTCCAGGGGAGGTGGCCAGAGGCAGCACTGAGAGTCAAGGCCTGACATACCCACTCAGAGCCTGTTTCCACTCAGAGCCCTCGCTTTTCCTTTATTGCCTGTGTATGCTGGAGGGTTTCAGATTTCTGGGTGCACAGAGGGCATTGTGGGGTCTTGGGTAAAGAAAACTGTCAGAACCAGGTGGCACTGATGCACAGGCACAGCATGGTTGCTGTTTCGGGTCCAGCCCTGCTCTGTGAGTTGAGTGCCTCTTACAAGCTTCTGGGCTCAGGGATGTAAGGTTCAAACTGCTCCTGGATACCAGTGGCTTTGCCTGGGTGTTGTGCCAACTTGGAGTGGGATTCAGCCAGCCTGGGCATCATTGAACCTCCCCTTACTCCCCACTCCCTAGTGTGTGGACTGGAGGGGGGTGGTGTGCTCACTCCCATTAAATATTCAAGAGCCACCTCTAGCATTTTCCTTTAGGGTAGCTGTATATTTTTAAAGCCAGCACTTCACAAGTAGGTCAAACGCTAATTCAGTGAGAAGTGGGGAAGGTCAATAGAGGGAAATGATTAGTCGAGAAAGCAGTCTTAATTCTGGCTGTTTTACAAAACAAGAAACCCAACCTCACCACTCTATAAATGTAGTACACGCTTGTTATATAAGTCGAGACAAGGACAGAGAGAGAGGAGAAAGAAGAGAGATCATGAGTCTTGCTACCCGGCCGGTGTTAAGTCTTAGTCCGGTTCCTTGCTGCAAGTGTGGCCTCCCCAAGTGTGCATCATCGGGGTCTCCTTCGTTGCTGGTGCCGACCTGTGAAGTGACGTGAAGTGACGTTAGTGCAGCGTGCCAGCAGCTGCGTCTCAGTCACGCCCAGCTGCTAGCGTAGATACCACTGAGAAGGTTCTCTTTTTGCTTATGAGCCTAAGACTTCTGAATTTTTTTCTGTATTTTCTGTATCTCTGTTTTGTATTTTTTTAATTTCCTCATTAGCAACACAAGCACATGAGGTGCCAAGGCCTCTGATCCCCTCTCTCTCTAGAGGTGCTCTCGGCCCAAGCTTTCTAACATTTGGTGTGTTTGATCAAGTATCTCGGAGTGGCCTCTGTGAGGTTTTTGGGAAAACATTTTTGTACTAAAAATAGGACAAGGATTCAAGTGTTAAATTCATATGGGCTTTTAAGGTAAGCCATGAACTGTAGGTGCTGGGGAGGAGTCACTCAGTCACTGCTTTAACTAACTCAGGCCTGTCGATCCCCAGAAAGGGACATGCAGTGTGTGTCTCGAGAGTGCCTCCCCCTTCCTCCAGTTCTCCGGATCAGCTTCACATTTTGAGACCCAGCACAGTGCCAATTCCCCTGTGCCCTGTCCGGGATCTCCATCTATGTTGCCTCTGTGCCCAGTGGCTGTCCCTTCCCCTGACCCCTGGCATGGGTGCCACAGTTTCATCTGGCTTCCTCTCCCTTCCCTCCTCTGTCTCATCCCCTCATCCCAGGCTTTGTAGGCTTGGGCCACTTTTGTGTATTTTGTGCTGCTCAGCATTCTGTTGGCACTCAATAAACATCCTTTTCTTCACCTGCTGGGTCCCAGCTCTGAGTGCAATTCCCAGCTTTTGGGTTGTGTAGCCTTGAGCCTGCCATCTGACCTGAGGCCCCTGGGAGGCGGACATGAGCCCTCTCCCATCTGATCTTTCCTATTTGACCTTCTGCCAGCTGAGTGTGCGGTAACAGTGAGCTGACGAATAATTTCTGAGCTTGGTGATGTGCAAATGTCATGATTTGGCTGTTTTCATACATTTGGGGGGCTAGGGGAAAGCCCCTTGATTCAATGTCATGGAAGCTCCATCTCTTTCTTTCTAGACCTTGGCCTCTTTGTAGGACATGTGGCTGTTTCACCAGTAACTGAAGGAACATTTTTCTGGAAGTTGGTCCATGGAGTCCTTTGGCTTTGCCTGGAGAACAGTAGGGGGCCCGGAGTCAGGGGGTCATGCGACAGTGTCTCATTAATGCTTCCTTAGATGGGGATTGGGTCCCAAGGAAGAATTTGGGAGGTCTTTGCAGTTGGAACAGTGCTCTGGAGAACAGGAATCCCATGGTGGCGGGAGAGGCAGTTCAGGCCCTGATGGGAGACTGGGCTGAGTGCCTGGGCCTACATGAGTGAGGACAGAGGCACTCTGGGCTGAGTGGAACCTGTACACAGACCACCCAGGCTTCAAGGCCAAGTGCCTCCATGTCCGGAGCCCTAATTGAGATAAGAAGAGCAGGTTTTTATAGCTTTATGATCATGGACTTAGGGAAGAAACCCTTGAAACTACCAGGTTTTATTTGCCTCACAAAACTGAGAATTTGAGGCTCCGGAATGAGAAATAGGGTCCTAACGTAGAGTATTGCTTTGTGGTCAAGAAGCCTCCTGCCTTCCTGTGTCTCTGGCCTCTGTTGCCTATGGGCATGGCACATCTAAGAGGTTCAGGTGTTTTTACCTTGCCACCTACTTTACAGAGACAGCAGATGCTGTCCTGGAGCCAGGGTCAGCTAGTTGCTCCCCTTTTCTTTGTGGCCCTTACCTGCTGAAGATCTCTCTTGAGCTCTGGGAGCTGTTTTCTGGACAGGGAGGCCACTTCTACTCTCAGACTGTTTTGTAGAATCACCTTCTTGTCTCAGGGTAGAGGCCTCAGTACCCACTACCTTCCCTGGGGCTGTTGGTCCAGGTTCTAGGCTCTGCCTGAGGAGGGCAGGTGGGCCTGTAGGAGAGAACAGGATTCTCAGTGGGCTGCAGGCGCTAGTGTGGAGGGGAGCTATTCCGTCTCTCATCCACCTAGCAGTTCCACTGGTAGGCAGCCGGGGTGGGGGTCATACTCATTGACCCAAGTCAGATATACAGCTGACAAGTCTGCATCAAGTCCCTTGCCTTTGTTAGATCCCAGGCACCATTACTCCACTAGACCACTGTGGCTCCTTTGCCATAGACTCCCCCTACCCGCTTTCTGTGCCTGTTACTCTGTGTGACCTCTATGGTGTCCACTCTGATGGTGTCATGTAGGGTTTGCTCTCACCCTAGTGTCCACCCTCCCTGGCCACGGCTGCAACGGCCACCGAGAGGTTGTGGTTGGAGCTGACTCTGAAGACATGCCAGTGGGTGGCAAGCATCCCTGACCCTCAGAAAGGCCCTGGCCCTAGGTGTAGAACCAGGGCTGGCCCAGATGCAGGAGGGGCACCCTCTGGTGGTCTGTTTTATAGACACCTCAGAGCTCACTTGGTGAGGCTCCCTTGATGGTCAGCAGTCACTGGGAAGCACTGGGGCTACCTTGCAGTGGAAAACGAGGCTTTGTTCCATGTGCCTTTGACTGGAGACTGTTGTCGCTGACCTCAGTCCTGCTCACCTGCCCAGGGAAGAGCCCCAAAATGAGAAGGGTAGGCGCTGGCTGCAGAGGCACATGTCTCAGTGTTTTTCAGAAGTGGAACTGTCAGCGTCAGCCCTGCCTTTAAGAGGGTTCCGTGGAGGAGAGTCTGTTAGTCATGCTTGTGGGACGGTGTCTAAAATGAGAAAAGGATCAGCTTCAGAAATCTTTGGAGCTATTCACTTGCCTCTCAGTGAATAAAGGGAGATAACCTTGTTACAAAACAGAACTTAAACTTGGTTTAGCCCTGAAATGGTGACAGATCAGGGTTGGAGGCTGCAGATGGCAGGAGGCATGCAACATCTCTTTGGGGTTCCCTAAAGTGCCATGAACGCTGATCTGGTTGTTTGTTAGAGACACATAAAACCTGCATGCCTCAAAAAAACCTTTAAATGTGGCCTGGCTTGGGATTATCTGCGGGACCACTGCTTTCTGGTCCAGGATTCACATTGGTGCTTTTGTTCTTTGTAGGATGAAACAGGTGCCTATTTAATCGACAGGGACCCCACCTATTTTGGGCCTGTGCTGAACTACCTGAGACACGGAAAGCTGGTCATTAACAAAGACCTTGCAGAGGAAGGTGAGTTGAGGGCAGGATCTGGTGAAGGTGCCAACTGGACCTCTCTGAGCCTGAGCCACCCTCAAGGAGCAGGCCCTGTGTGCCGGGGGCCAGGTTGGGGTCCATGTGCCCCTGCCTCCTGCAGAAGTCCTAGGTGCCCGAGTCCTCTTACTTGCTCCTCAGCTTCCTTGCAAATGTGTCCTATGAAGTAGCAGACACTGGCCTCAGAGAGGTGAGGGGGCTGCTTGGCTCAGTTTCTTCCCCTTCAGGAAGCAAAGGTTCTTCAGAGCTGGGCTGGCCATCAGGACCACTGTAGCAGAAGGGCCTGGGGACTTCAGCCCAGGCCTCTGCGACCCCACTATGGGGTTCCCCCAGCTATGGGCCGATCCATGGACCCCCTCCTTGAAGTGTCCAGTTAGTGATATGTGAAGGTCGGGTCTCCTACTTTGGGAGACTGCCCATTCTTTGGCTATAACAGTCTGAGAGCCATGTATTAGGAATGTGCCTGCCATGTGAGTTTCCCAAGTGTCCTTCAGCATCTCAGTCACCCTGAGTCTGCTCTCCTTTCAGGACACCACTGTGCCATTATCTCTGAGTTCTGTTTGTTCTCAAGTGTTATGCTAAGTTCAGACTTTGGTCACAAGGAGCAGGGACACCAGGTACAGCTCTGTGGGCACCACACCCGAGGCTGATGCATCTTCATGCTCTGGTGTGGGCTTGGCTCCAGACACTAGGGAGGTCCAGAGAGGTTCAGGGCACTGTTGCTCAAGAGTGGGCTCCGGCTCCTTGCTCTGCTCACATCCCCGAACAACTGCTGGTACTGAACTGTGTCTTCCTTCAGCTCTTGCCACATCTTACTCCGTGTCTTCTGGACCTCTGGATCCCCTTTTTCATGCACATATACTTGTGTATTTGAAGCACCCTTCCTTTGAGTGTGCACAACTGTATAATTCTAGGCTAAACTTCACAGCCTGTTCCCAATGTGATTTGCTTGGAAAGGGGTACTTGATGTGACCGAACCTCACTGCCTGGTCTTACTCACCTGCCTTCCTACCTGCCTCAGAGGAAGTGCTTTCAGGAGAAACACCCCAGTGGACACCATTTCTTGGTTCTGCCCTTCATCAGAATGTGGTGCTTGGAGTGTCCAGGTGGAAGGAAGCTCTTCAGGCCCACGCACTTGTCCTAAAGCTTCTGGTGCTCATTTGCAATGCCCCTCAGTCTTCACCCACAGAAATCTGAGGATGGGATGATGGTCACCAAGAGTCATCTCGAGAAGTGACATTCTAGATGTGGCCTCCCTTTGGGTAGCCCCGAAGAGAGACATCCTGCTAGGAGGCCGCTGTCCGCCCCCACTCTCATCCTCTGTTGCCTTGCCTGGGGACCTTGTTAGGAGGCAGCCTGAGCAGATCTGGCAGGCAGAGTCCATGGCTCCGAGCTCCTAGTGCTGCCGGTGGAGGGACCATGCCATGGAGAGCAAGGGCTGGCCGGGATGACCAGTCATGGCGGCAGAAGACATACTTCGAAACTTCTGGAATACCCATGAAGAATCCCTGAAGCAGAGCCCTTCCAATTTATTCTTTAGAATTCCTAGAGATTTTAAGTCCCTAAGTGTGGTACATTACAAACAACCATCTTTGAGAGGAAAGGAGTTCCTAAACTGGCAAGAGTCCTGGAACAAGGAGGCACCCCCTCCACCCGCAAGTCTAATGATTGAATAGGGAAACTGAGATGCCGAATGACTGACTCAAGAGATCTGCACACAGCTGCCTGGCCTGGCCTGAACCTCTTATGAAGAGGGTGGGAAGTCAGCCAGCCTACGGCAGATGGCTGCGGGCTATGGAGGGAAGACGCCTGCGTTCCATCCTTTGTGCCCAGCGTGGAGCTCTGAGTCCTCACCTGCCTGACTTGGGTGCGAACCAGCTGTTCTGCACCTGAGCTCTGCTCCCAGAAGGTCACCTGGAGAGATTTGTACAGGAGTGTGTTCAGTAAATGTGCTATTTGTTCATCTGAACCCTCTGCCCCTAGTCCTGGGGAATCCCTCTGAGAGCCAACAGTGTCTGCACCGATTCTTTTGGGGTGTTAGGATGGGGGCTGAGGAGCCTTCAGTGGGCCAGGCACAGGCTGCAGGTCCACAGCAAGGCTGAGTTGAAATGTTCATTCTTTGATCTGCTGAAAATTATAGTTATTTTTCTCTATTTCAGGAGTGTTAGAGGAAGCAGAATTTTACAATATCACCTCACTAATAAAACTTGTAAAGGATAAAATTAGAGAACGAGACAGCAAAACATCACAGGTAAGACCAGTGACCAATGTGCTGGAAGCTTCCGAGGCCTAGTGTGTATGCACGACTCCCACCCTTCCCTCCTCACTGACCAAGGACCTTGTAAGGCCTTAAGATTGGGCTGTCCTGTTTTGATGACTGTCTTCCTCTGTTATCATCCTAGTGCCCGATGGCCTACTCTCTAGCCGAGGCGGTGCTGCCAGCTGGCACTGTGGCAGGCATGCAGGGCACATTCCAGCCTTGGCCAGCCTACCTTCAGGGAGCTCCACCCCAGTGGGATGGGGCAGACAGCTACTGGGGAGGAAAAGAAAGTCCGTGAGAGCAAGAGAGTGGCAGGGAACGGGGTCCTCCAAGGGGGAGTGAGTGTGTGTGTTTGGGGAGGGCATTGCAGGCAGGGCGCACAAGTGCAAAGGGCTTACGGGCCATGTGCTTGCCCATTCAGAGGGCCAGTGTGGAGCGGAGAGCAAGGGGAAGAGCTGGTCATGAGCTGGGGGCAGGTGGTGGAGGCAGGGGTCCTGCAGGCCTCTGTTGGTGAGTTGAGGAGTCGGCCTTACTGAAAAAGAAGGGCTCACTCGGTTCTCTTTGTGCTTGGAGCCTGCACAACCACTCTGCTTCCCATTAGGCCAATGTTTAAAGTGCTGCGTCCAGCCCCTCAATGAAGGGATGTGCCAAAGGGTCTAAGGTATTATTAGTCTTTGTCTCTGCGCTAGCTCTACCCCTGAGCAGAGTGATAAGTCCTTGCCCAGTGAGTTCTGCTCCTCTAGGAGGATGCTATGAAATGGACGGTTCCTTAGAGCTGTTGTTATCTGGAGAATCTCAGTTTACTTAAAACCTTTCCCCCCACCACACACACCACCACCATGGGCTTTCCCACTGGGTGCCTCTAGTCCCTGACCAGCCAGAGCTCTTAACCTTTGTTTTCTGAGCTTCCATCTGGCGGCTAGCTTAGCCAGAGTGGCTGGTCAGGGGCCAGGCCAGGGAGCAGGGCATGCCTAAGTGACACCTGGGAGACCAGGACCAGCCACACACCCAGCACCCAGTCTTCCTGTGGGAGATAGTGGGCACCAGGGCAGTTGGGAGGAGACATTTCCACTGGCTTCCTGGTCATCTCCAGCCAGTTTGCCTCCCCACCACCCCCAAGATGCCCCACTTACGAGCCATGTGACCTGGGCCAACACTGAACCTGCTGACCCTGTGTGCCTCAGTCTCCTCTTGCATAGTGGATGTAGAGGAGCCCCTTGTCACAGGACCTATGTGAGGATTAGAGGGCTCAGGCTGGGTAGCACACCAATGTTGTCTCACAGATGAAAGAATTGTACTTCAGGCTGTGACCCTGTCATTCAAGTGTCACTGGAGTGAGTCACTACCTTAACATCAAAATACAGCCTGGAGCTTCTTCAGCCCCTTCCCCCTAGTTACAGGTGTGTTATATTTAGTGGCCACCTCCTCCTGCTGGAGTAACAGCTCTTTGAGGGCAGATCTCCCCAGGGACTCCCATCACCAGACACCATGCCTGGAATGGAACTCAGGGAAGGTCAGGTGGGTGGCTAGGTCAGAAGGTAGATCAATTTTTTGGAAGCCAGTTCAGCCCAAGGGAAGGCTTGTGTCTGAGCTGTGCATATCTGAAAGCTTTGCTAGGAGCAGGGGTGGGGTTAGTCTTGCATTGCTCTCAGGCCTCCCTGTCAATCCCTCCCCAGCTGATGGATTCAGGGACTTAGTGTGGTTCCTCTGAGGAAGAGAGATGGACGTCCTTGTCCATTCACATCTAGACATAAGTGCTCTTGGCATTTTAGGAACATGACTCAGTTTATTTTGGAATTTAGAAATTAAAATATTTTTGGAGGTGGATGAGGAAACAGAAAATGGCAACTGTTCCAGCCTGTTTGTTTTGTTTTGGTAGATGCATTTGGGGCTTCTTTGGGCATTATGACCTGAGCCCTAGAGGTGGAAGGAAACGTTAGCCTCATCAGATCCCCTGTTGAGCTATCCCTGGAATCTGTACCTGGGGCAGGCTTGCTGGGACAGGGAGGGAGCAGCAGGTTGTGTGGGGCCTGTCTCATCTGTGGCCCTTGTTCTTGCAGGTGCCGGTGAAGCACGTGTACCGTGTGCTTCAGTGTCAGGAGGAGGAGCTCACGCAGATGGTGTCCACCATGTCCGATGGCTGGAAGTTTGAGCAGGTGAAGGGCCCCCTGGACTGAGTTGATGTGAGCCTGTGGAGCAGTGAAACTTTTAATAACAGAGGGCCCCACCTGAGTCCTCAGGGCTCCTGGCCCCAGGGACCAGTAATGAAGCATTGGACACCTGTGGTTCCTAGAAATGGGTCACTGGCACATCTCACAAACAGCAGCCTGCACCTTGATGTTTTTGTGGGGAGGGTGGATTTGTTCATAGAGAACCCCCCTGGGGCCTCCACCCACTGCTTCCTTCCCATTCTTCTCTCTGCAATTCTTCTTCTTACTCTACCCCATTCTTTCGGGGGATCTGTTTTCTGAGCTTCCATCTGGCGGCTAGTGTGTATGTGGTTGACATCCTGAGTGGATCCTGGCCTGGCCCCACCTCCCTGTCCCACCCTTTGTCTGCCCAGCCCCTCCTGTGCTCGATGAGCAGATGGTGCCTTGGGCTCCTTTGTGCTGCATCCAGGTGCCATGAATGCTGTTCGTGATGGGGCTGCTCTGTAGCCCTCTAGCCCCTTTTCTGCCCTTGATTAGAAAGATGCTGCTGATGCTGGTCCGCCTGTACCCTATCACTTTATTAGCTCTGCTGTTGCCTTAGGCTGAAACTGATGTGACAGTGTGTAAGTGCTGGGTTTTCCCTCTGTGCAGCTCTGCATACTGTTCTCGTCCTGTGCGCCTGTGCTCAGTACTTGTGGTCTCAGAACACGTCAAGGGTGTTCTCTGAATGGCCAGCACCTTTCCCACCAGCTTGGAGTCGCTATTCTACTTTCTTAGGCAGAGACTCTGAGGTTCAGCCTTGTGACTCTGTCTAGCACCCAGCCCAAGGCCTGATTGTGAAAGGTGGACACTGGATCTGTGACCTCAGCCCCAGGTAGTGACCGCCCTGCTCACTGGGTCCCCTCTGGTCTCTGGGAGTTTCCTTTGTTGCTAGCTTCCATCTGTGGCATGTTCTGTCCATGGCAAGTGGTCCTGCCGAGAGAGATTGTGAGAAATAACAGGGTCACCCCAGTGCCCCTTCTAATTAAGTTTGCCCCTTTTCTTTAGGTCTTTTGAAATAATGGATTGCAATGTAGAATGCTTGGAGTCCCCTTAAAATGTCACTAAAGACAGGTGCAGTCAGCTTTTGTGTCCCTCTCTCTACCCTTTGACCAGCCACCAGGGCTACTCTGTGTCCTGTTCTGATGATGTAGCTTGCCTCGCCCTCGCACCAGGGAGTCCAAGTGGGGTCCTGTGGTCTGCATGTGTGTTTCTCGTGCTCTGACCCCATCAGAATCCTGCCAGAGACTCACTTAGGACCAGCAGCCTCTCACTGCCCCTCCTGTTGTCCCTCAGTGCACAGCTTGGACAAGGGCTGCGGAAGTGGGAGAGGCTGTCACCTGTGATCTATGAACCAGGTCACCTTTGAGTGGAGCTAAGCACCTCTGTGGCTCCTGCTGAGAGAGAGAGGGCACCTCCTGCCTCCTGCACAGGCATCTTCCTCCCTGTGACCAGCTTAGGGACTTTGTCCTTAGTTCCTCTGAGTGGATCCCAAATCTATCAAAAAGAGCATGGTCCTCTCTTAAGCACTTTGCCTCGTTTGTCCTTCAGGGACATCCTTCTGCCATTTGATGCCCGTGAAAGCCCAGAACCACATTCATGTTTGTTTAATGAGAAATCTACTCGCAGAAGCAAGAACTGGACCTGCTTGCTGCAGGGCACATGGAGCGAGAGCCTGGGCCCAGCAAGGTGGCAGAACCTAACCCAGGGTCACCCAGTGGTCAGTGGTGAGGCCAGAACAAAGTTCTGAGCGAGGTTTTGAAGAGGCTTGGGTGCCTCGTGAGAACATGGCCTCTGGGTGGACCTAATTATAAGTGGCTGCACACCTACTGCCTGATCCGCATCCAGGGCCACCTACCCCTGCAGTCCATAGATGCAGGGCCTGTCTCCTGAGGGGTGATTGTGAACCTCGAATAGACTTTGCAGAGACACAGGGAGAGCATGTCTGCCTCTTCTCTGTGGGCCCCCTGTGATATCTTCTCCTCTGGCCATGCTGGCCTCACTCACCACTCCACATATGTTCCTTGTTTGGCTGCACCTGCCTCCCCACTGTGTCCTTTTCATGTCCCTGCATGCAGAGCTCCCACCCCTGGCCTCTCCTATGTGTGCAGATTCATCTGTAGAGAGGCTGGAGAGTGAGAAGTCTTCCAGGTATTTGCTTGTTCATTAATTATGTCGTTCATGGCCTTAATACAATTTCAGTGGTTTTCTTTTGATTCATTTTACACTTAAAGATACAAAAGTCTTTGGCTCTGAGGTAGGCTAGAGCAAGAAAGTCAGCCCTCAGCCCCAACATGGCCATGGTGGTGACCTGAAGGCCCATGGGGATGTAGATTCACACAGACTGAGACTGAAACATGCAGAAGCCACAGCTTCTTAGCATCTGTATTTGAAATTCAGGCAGGTCTACCATCAGCAGCCTCTGCCTGCTTTCCCTTCCACCACCTTCTTGGTTAGTAGCCATAGGGCAGGAGGGTCCATCTTGGCTTTTCCTGGGAAGGCCTGGTGACCACAGTGAGAACAGACAGAATGTCTGGGAGCTTTTCCTTGTGTGATGACACATGCGTGTGCTCTGGGCCTGTGCAAAGAGAGCACCTGGTGTGCCAAACTGCGATTCTGCTGTGTGCTCCAAGAGGTCCAGCTCTGAGCACACCACCCCGGCCCTGCCTCCCTCTGCACCCTGCCTAGATCTGTGCTCCCCTCTCCCTGTGGCCAGTCAGGATCTCCTGTGGGCCCAGAAACCCTAAAAAGAGCCAACTATCTTACAAAGAAGGCCTGTCCCACATGAGGTGTGCACATGTGGTAGTGTTTAGGTGTGGGTGCATATGTGCCAAGTATGGAAGTTTCAGTACTTTATTTTCCATGAGTTTATTAAAAACCTCTTGGCTGAAATCTGTCCCTCGTCTCCCTGAATGTCAGCTGTCTTTGCAGTGGGTTTTCACAGGCTGGAGCTTCCCTCCTGGTGTGTGGGCTGGTCCTATGCTTACATCACACCTGCCTTCTCTCCTCCCAGCTGGTCAGCATCGGCTCTTCGTACAACTATGGGAGTGAAGACCAGGCCGAGTTCCTTTGTGTGGTCTCCAAGGAGTTGCACAACTCCCCATATGGCATGACCAGCGAGCCCAGCGAGAAAGCCAAGGTAGGTGACTGTGGGCTGGCAGGTAAGCGACAGCCACAGATGCTCTGGCCTCCTGCCAGCAGAGCAGGCTTGTGAGGGCAGAAGATGTCCTTTGCAGGGTTCTTTTTCCTCCTCAGAGCTTTATCTTCTCTTGTTCTCATCGCACTACCAGCTGTGCAGGCTTCCTGGCAGTTTGCTCACCTGTGTTTCTTGTTTGTCATCACATAATTCTCGCCTCATGTGTCAGAAGGAGAGTCCTATAACCAAGGATACATCATTTACTCAGGATGTGGGTGATGCAGTGAGAGTTCTTTGGACACTGGCTCTCCTACAGGGCGATCCCCTGTGGCTTCAGCAGCCCATGCCCTCCAGCAACCCCTTTTCTCATGGACAGAGTTGCTCCTGGAAGTGTTGTGGTTGTGCTTTTAAGTGATGCCACCACTGTGGGCTGTTTTCCTGGGCTTTGGGGCATGGAGGCTGCTGGACAGGTCCCCTGGGTGGTACCTGTCTCAGCCACACTCATCCTGTATTGGGAGTCGAGTTTGGTCTGTAAAAGGAGTGGATCCTGCAGGTGCTATCATTTTAGACTCATGGAGCATTTCCTCGGCCAGTCCCTTTGTAAACTGGCAGTGTTCCTTGGTGGGCACTGGCTCTTCTGTCTCCTGGGGAGGACAGTACAACCAGGGCGAAAGCAGAACTGCTGTGTCATTTGCTTTTGGGTTAGCCCTGTGGCAGGGAGCAGTGGCTGGCTCTCTCCAGAGGTGAAAGATTCTGGTGGCATCTCCCCTGGGTTTGTTCCTGAGGTCGGGGATTCCAGGACAGACAGAACTCAGCATTGGCCTAGGTTGGCTCCATCTGGCAGGACTTTCAGAACTTTGAGCCAAATAGTAGCCAGACAGCCTTACAGCCAACTCTGAGGGGGACATGGGGGGTCTGCACGGCCTTAGCAGAGCTGGGGAGGTTGGGGCAGGGCTCTCTGGCAGCCCTGGTGAAGGCTTGGGGTGCTGCCTGCCGAAGGGTATTTTGGGTGTGTGTAGGAAAAGGCCAGAACCAGAAGGATTTTAACTGACGACATTAAACTAGGGCTCCTGGGGCTTCCACAGACTCGGCTGGGGTGGCCTCTAAGCTGGCTACCAACTGCCCAGAACTGCCCCTGGGCTTGAGAACTGATGATAGAGTCACCATGCCCACCGGCCTTCCCAGAGTGGCTGACCTCCACCTGCTCAAGGCAGCTTTTTCACCACAGAGTGAAGTCTTGTGTCTTTACACCTGTGATTATCCATGTCCCAGGGCCTCCAGAGTCCTCACATGGGGATCAGGGCTGTTCTGCCACTGTTCAGGACAGGACAGCATGGAGGTCAGTGCAGGTCCCTAGGTGCTTGGCAGCAGATGGGCACTCTGGGGATGAACGAGTCCCATGGCAGCCTGGGAATGTGCTGGTTGTAGCATCTGAAGTGGAAGATGACCATACCTCCCTGCAAGCCCCCAGCCTCTTGACGAGGTACATCTCTCTCCAAGCAATTACAGGGCTTTTGTGTAAGCTGTTTATTTTTAGAAGCTTTTATTTTTGAACTTAAAAAGTTTTCATAGCTGAGCTTACCAGGGCAGCTGACCGAGCTCATTTCTCTCAGGTGGCTTTTTAGCTACAGAAAAGCTGTGTTTGTGCTATGAGGGAGCTCTAGGCGTGACCCCATATCTCTTTGCTGTTGAAAATGCAGCCCTATTTCTCTCTCTAAAAATACTTGTCTCTGAAGCGTGGTGGCCACAGCAACTTCTAAATGGGGGCAGAGCATGGTTGGGGCCATTGGAAAGCCGTAGAAAACCATTGGGGCAGGATTGGGCATGGTGATTTGGGGATACCTGTGTGCAGCCTGATTGGAGCAGTACTTCACGTCCTGAGGGCAACAAGTGTCACTGCCATGGAACTGCTCACCAGGTGCCCTGCCACATGCAATAGCCTCCTGGCACTGACAGGCCAGCCTCCCATCTCAAGGTGGAAGTGGCAGGAGAGAATGGGTGGGGCTGGAATAACTCAGCAAGGGGACCGGTCCACACAAGAGCTGCTATGTCCACCATCAACTGCAAGTTCAGGGGCTTTCCAAACTGCTTTCTGATTTTATGGTTTGCTGGAAGGACTTGCAGAACTCACCACTGTTGGGCTCATGGTTACGGTTTATTATAGGAAATACGGAAATGGAGGGTTCATATATGTCAGGGGAGAGCACATAGAGTGGAGGACAGGGAACCAGCCAGACTCGGGGCTCCTTTGTTTGTGCTCCTCATGGAGTCAGAATGAGTGGCAGCATGGAACATTGCCTACCAGGATGCTCCCCCAGCGTCCATGTCCAGAGATTTTACTAGGCTCGGTCTCTTAGACATGACTGACTGATTGATCGATGATTGATCTCTCACATGCCTGATTGCAGTGTCCAGCCCCTCTGGCCAACTGACCCCGCCCCCTCCCGTTGTTAGACTGTCCACTGCGGCCTGGAGGTTATGACCTCCCAGGAGCTAGGGGCAAAGGTCAGACCTGTGTTTGGGCAAGGTTCAGTTCTTTTCTGCACAGAAGGAAGGAAAACTCTGGCACTTTGGGAGTGCTAGGACCCAGAGATGGGGCAAGGGAGATGCCTGAGACCTGTGTTCCTCCATAGTGTGATCTGGGCGTGTGGGTTTGGGGCCTAGGCCCCAAGATGAGGTTGGTCTGTGCTTTGCTGCACAGCACAGCAGGAGTTCCTGGCCCCATGCGCCCATGGTTGCTGAGGCCTTTCTGGGTAGGCTTCCCTCCGCTGCCTCCCAGCCTCGCTCTGCACTGATGGTGTCCTCTCTTCTTCTCCTCCCTTGCTGCATGCTGTATGCCGAGCCAGAGTGACGACGAGGAGACGGGTCACGATGGGAATGACTCAGATTAAGTGTAAATGTCCTGGTGAGCTCTGCCGCCCTTGCAATGGACCCCGTACCTTGACCCAGCTCCTTCTCCGCCATGTGTGTCCTGTGCCTGTAGTTGACAGAGAACTGTGTAGATCTGCAGTGGAGCCAGCCTGTCTGGGAATGGGCTGTCTGTCTGTCCTCTTTAGATCCTTATGTGGGTGGGATTGGGACCATGCCTGGAGTACCTGAAAACCCTGTATGTCAGACCTCCTTGCCATGGATGTTAGTGGGCAAGGACATGGGCCTGCACTTACTTGGAGCCAGGCTACCCCCAGCCCTACAGGCTTCCCATCCTGTCACTGGGCCATGGGCTCAGGGCTGCAGAGGCTGGACCTCGATCCTGAGGCCAAAGCCTGCAGTGCCCCTGCTCGCGGCGCCCTGGACGAGAGATGCTGGTGGAGAGTCTATGTGGGCCCTCCTTCTTTTTGCCCTGTGATGGGAGGGAGACTCTGTCAATGCCCACTGCTACTTCTCACAGCTGCCACTTATCGGCCTCTTCTCATAGGCCAGTTGGGTTGCAGAACCCAACTGTGTTCTCCATTAGCAGGAACCACTTGGCTTTCTCTCTCATCTTGCACTGGGCAAGTCGCGGCCCAGAGAGGCAAGTTGCAGGCAGATGAGCCAGGCATCATCCCAGGGTCCTCCACTCCCACCAGGGCCCTCAAATGTAGACAAGACCTACAGTTGAGATCCTCAGCCTCCACCCTGGGAGGAGCTCAGAAGGCATGAGGCCAGCTGAGCACTGAAGGGCCAACCATTCGGCAACAAGCAGTCTAGATGGGGAACTTTTACACTTTAAGTAGTTGTTTTTTTTTTTGTTGTTCTGTTTGTTTTGTTTTGTTGATTATATAAATACATAACACCCTCAGTTTTGCCTTTTGATCCACAAACCCTAAAATAATATTTACTATCTGGCCCTTTAAGGACATGTTTTCTGAGTGCAGGTCTGGACCAGCTGTCAGGGCCCAGGGGACATATAGCACAAGCTCCATCTGTCCTTTTAAACTTTGTAGTAGCCATATTAAGAAGAAATTTATGCTAATACTGTTAATTCAGTGTAGGCAAAATGTCATTTCAATCTAGCCCAGCTTTCTCTGCAAACGGTAAAAATCATTGACATACTTTACTATTCTCACTTTAAAGTCTGTGAAATCAGGTGTGTAGTTTACATTTGTGGGAGCCACATCTTAGTGGCTCAGCAGCATGTGGGCAGCAGGCAGCAGGCCCTGGACTTTGGCCTGGCCCAATGGTGACTCGTGATAGGAACCCAACTTGGTGCTAGGGGAGCCCACATGAACTTAGAGGAGCCGCACCTACTAGTGGTCTGTTGGGTGCTGGCACTGGGCCAACATCCAGTAGGGACAAAGGGGCTTCTTTCAGTCCCTGTCCCAAGTTATTGATTTTGCATCTGCCAGCTAGAGCTGCTGTGGTGGCCCTCACACGGGTCTGAGCTGTGGGTGGCGCGGGCATGGGCTAATCACAGAGTAGCTCTGGAGCTACAGTGGCCACCAGACCCGCCTGAGCCTGCCCGTGGGGTGCTGCTCATGGTGTGTGACCTGCCCTGGTCCCTGCGGGAGGTAGCCCAGATGAGAACTCTGTCCAGGGCAGACGGGGCTGTGACTTTCACAGGTCCTGGGAGGGGGTCTTCTGTCCAGAGAGGGCAGGTTGCCCTCATTAGGAGATAGTTCTCGCGGCATCTGCCCTGGGAGGCGGGGCACCCTTCCTGCGCTATTACCGTGCTCCTAGGCAGATTTCGGTTGTGTGGGCCTCATTTCCACTATTTAGTCCTTTGAACTCAGATACTCCCTCTGCTCTGCTGGACTCTCACAAAGTGAGGAGCTCTGAGCTTTATGGGCCCCCACAGGCCCCAGCTTTCCCTGCAGACAGCAAGGATAAGGGGCCAGCAGACCCTCCTGGGGCTGAGACTAGCACCTTGGCAGAAGGGCCCTGCAGGGGCTGAACAAGGATGCACTGTCACCCCAAGTCACCTCTTTAGACCATGTCCCTCTGACAGGGCCTCCTGGGTTTTCCCAAATTCTACTAAACCTAGGGGCTTGCCCTGGTCTGGTCTGAGTTGGGGCATGCAGTCTGGGGTACTGCTTTCCTAGCACCGCAGAAGGTGCACCTTGCAGGGGCTGCAGCGTAGGCCATCTGAGCATCCCCAGAGCTCTCAGAGACTCAGGGTCCAGGCTTGGGGACCAGCAGAGAGAGGTATGAAGGGACAGCTAGAGCGACTCCCGAGAACTTGCACCTTCTCTTGAGTCACTCATACGCGTCCTGGGTGACCATGAGAGACTGGCCACTCTGCTGTGGGCAGCCACCCTCGCTGGTGAGCAGGAGTTTGTGGGGCATGCAGGGCACTCGCCGCAAGCCTGAGAACTTCACCTGCCGGACCTCTCTGGGAAGCAGTGAACCTTACTCTGGCCAGAGAGTCCGTGTGGGCCTGGGCCTGGCATGAGTAGGGCTGGCTTGCTTCTGGGGCACATCCCCCTGTTGCACTGGGCCGGGGGCTCAGAAGCACACAGTGTCCTAGGAGCCCTATCTCTCTCAGCTCTGAAATTCAAGCAGAAAATGCCCCTAGACAGCTCACTCTTAGATCGCTGATGAGATCAGGATGGTCATCTTATAGCACTGGGTGGCTCTGGTTATGACTTGTGGCCTTTCTGTCCTGGTTACCTGGTGCTTAGCAGCCATACTTGATATAGTGAAACAGCAATATTTGCCAGTTCCAAAGCCCCCACCAGGAACATAGAGTGGTCCCTCCCCCTCTACCTGGCCTCTGTAGGGTTTGACTGGTAGATTTTACCAGTGTGCAGGCCTGTCCCCAGGTGGCTCCAGCCCTTGAAGAGCTCCCAGCCCAATTTGGAGGTGGGTGGGATCCACAGATGATTCCAGTGGTAAGAGAGGGGCTGGGGCCGGGGAGCTACTCTGGCCCTGAGATGCCAAGGAGGAGTATGAGGGAGAGGGGCGGTGGACTCTGCAGGGCTGGCAGTGGGGTCAGGTGCATGTTCCATAGAGTCCTGTCTGGCTGCAGCAAGGAGGGGGCAGGCAACTTTGAGGTGGTCAGTCCAGTCACAGGGAGGCCATGCACCGTGCAAGATTTGAGCCCAGCCAGGCATTGTGCAGAACAAGCTGATGGGTGTGGGCATTGGGTGACAGGCCTGGGGGCCCAGGCTTCAGGGTTGCATGTCTGGATGCAGGGTGGAGGAGATGTGGTTTGCAACGGGGGATGGAAGAAGGAAGAGGGAAAGATTGGAGTGGGAGCCTCTGGGATCCCAGAGGCCCTGGTTGTACGTTTGTGTCTGTGGCCTAGGATTCAGCTAGCTGGAGAGAAAGAGATATCCGATGGTCACCCACACTCCATCTGGCCCTGGTCCTCCGGTCAGGGAGTCACTCCTGGGTGTGATTGGCGGTTTCTCATAGCCTTGGGCAGCTTTTGACAGAGGTGGCCTCCTCCCCAAGGCTGGGCCTCCTTCAGGAGTTGGTGCCTGGCAGGTGGGCAGTTAAGCCCCTAGGTAGGCTCTAGCACCCTCAGGAGGGGAGCAGGAGGTGGCCATTGGGGGAGATACTGCCAGGGGTCCCTGAGGTCTGGTAAGGAGCTGTACCTCCTTAGGCCATGCGTGCATGTCTCAGCCTCCTGGAGGAAGCCCAGGGAGGGGCTGGGTGGAGGCGAGGGTGTCTTTCTGACTTTAAGCTGGGCTTGAGAGTGGGGAAAGTTGGAGGGGCTGTCCCCTTGCATGGGACCTGGAGGTGCTCAAGACAGCCCACCACAGCAAGGGTCAGCTGGGCCGGTCCGCAGCCTATTCTCAGACCCTGGCCAGTGGTGCTGGCTCCTCAGGCCCCTGAGCCGAGATATCTGTAGGCCCACGGAGGTGTCTGGGCTCTGCTCCTTGGAGCAGTGTACTTGGCTCCAGGGCTGCATAGTTCCCACCTTGCTGTCCAAGGCTCATGTCCTCATTCTCTGCATTTGGCATTTTCAGATTTTACAAGAACGGGGTTCAAGGATGTGAGGAGCACAGTTTTGACAGCCGAAGAAACATTTTACTTTTCCCAAGATGCAACGAACTGCCATGTCGAGGAAGCTTGGCCATGAGAAGAAACCTGCTTTTGACAATTTCTCTAGAGATCTGGGTGTGAATCCTTTTTTGCCTCTGAGGTGGGTGGTGAGAGACAGAACCAGCTGTCTAAGACCGGGTGTCCCCACTAGGAGTTGGTGTGCTGGCTGGGTGGGCGTTCCTCTGGGAGCCTCCACTAGGTTTTCCAAGTGCCACACAGGCCTGAGTGCTCCTGACTGACACCTTTAATCAGCGAAGATCATTTAAAGGACAGCGTTCTTGGTGCTACATAAACAGCCTGGAAAAGAGCCCGGGCCTCACTGGTAGCAAGTGGCTGCCGTGCTGCTCTGGGCTCTAGATATCCGATGGTCACCCACACTCCATCTGGCCCTGGTCCTCCGGTCAGGGAGTCACTCCTGGGTGTGATTGGCGGTTTCTCATAGCCTTGGGCAGCTTTTGACAGAGGTGGCCTCCTCCCCAAGGCTGGGCCTCCTTCAGAGCCGTGCTCTCCCATCCTGACCCAGCCTGGAACAGTTAAGGCTTCTCCATTTGTATTTTCCAGGCGAGAGACCTTTGCACCCCTTCTTTGCCTGTGTGGATAGACTTCTAATGTTTTTACTTTTTAGAAATGCCTAAAAGTGTTGCTGCATTTTGGATTGATCTATTAAGTCATTTAAAGGGAGGTAGAAATTTTGTCACGTCCATATCGAACCCACGGGCTTATAGGGGAGCTGGCGCCCGTCAGTCAGTGCCTTTGTCTCATCTGGGATGGAGGTCAGGGTGGGAGGCCTGTCCACCTGGCTTCTGGAGCTGAAACTCCGGGTCATGTTGAAAATTGGATGTTTACAGCGCATCACAAATATTTCTCTTTCTTGCCAGCTTTTTCATTTTTTTTGTATAACTATGCAGTTCTCTCTGAAACTTCTGGGATGTTTGAGACTTCACTCACAACCTACATGGGCTTTGCCCACCTGACATGACATTGGAGCTACTAGAATTTCTTTAAAACCCGCTATCTGCATGCTTTGAGAACAGACTTTTCTGAACTGGTTGTGGGGACTGTCAGAGTCTTGAGGACCTGGCTCAAATCAGCAGCTTTCTGCTTCCTGACCTCGGGCCTCCGGGGGAGCTGTGCACACTGACACCGGGACTGCTGACACATTGGGCGGAGGCTCTGACACGTCTAGTTTCAGATGCCGCCAGAGCCCTTTTCTTTTTTGCCAATAACCTGATTAACCGAGTTCTCCAGCACCTAGGACTTACCTCCTCCTTTTTGTAAGGTCTGTTGTATGTTGTTAAATGTTTGGCTTTAACCGTTTATAGCAACCTTTCTATAGGGCACATTTAGCCCCTGGTGACTTGTTCTCCCTGCCGAGCCCTGGGAAGAGGGCGGCCCTTGCTGGCCTTGAGGTGTACTTGTGGGGCACTGCTGGCTGCTTAGCGTCGTTAAATTTGTGACCTTGACATCATAGATAGGCTTGTGGTGTTTTTTTAATTTAAAGATATTAAGACTTAATTCACTAAAATTTATTCTAAAGGGATATTTATACTTTTATACTTTTTTAGGTATCTGTATTTTATCAGCTTACAGTTTAATGCCTAAGTTTCCCCTGAAAATAGCAAATAAAATTGTGTATTTATGAATGAGCAGAGCAACTGTTAGTGTCTTAAAGTGCATGAAAAAGCTCTTGGTGACCCCGGGCACAGTCAGTGGCCAGGGTGGAGCTGGCTGTCCACTTGTCTGTTGCTGTCCAGCCTGGGGACTGGTGAGGGCTGGGGCTGGGGGATTAGTCAACACATGCCCATCTCCCACCTTGGCCAGGCCTGGCCTGGCCACCTCACCTACCTCTTACTGTCTCATCCCTGGGACAAGAAGATCATTTTTGAGTGACTTTTTTAAAAGTACTTATGCCTCATCAAGTTAAGCATGTCCACCTGTCTTGTCTCTCACTCTGGCCAGAAGTGCTAGCTTCACATTCCTCCAGATCCTAACTTCCCCACTCCCCATAGCCTCTCTGGCTTTCCCTGGTGGATGGATGCTTTGTGAAAGCTCCTGGGATGCCCTCCACACTTTGGGGAAATTCATGTTCCTGTGTCCCCTGGAGAGCTCTGGCTTCCTGAGGCTGGCTAGAATGTCCTTGACCCCAAAATGCTGGAGTCTCAGGCTTCTCAAACTTCCAGCCTTGTCAGAGTGTCCATCCTGTTTCCAAGTGTGCAGCCAGCTTGACCAGGGGTCCCAGGGTCCTGGGGAGACTGCTGTCCTGCCTGCCCAGGCTGAGGATGGCAACTCCCTGCTTGGAAGCTAGCTGGGCTCTTGGGTGCTCAGGGTACAGCTCGGGGCACATGGAAAAGGACTCCAAGTTCTCCAAGGAGTTTGCTTTCAGAACAGACTAAATTTGGCATCTCCCAGCTTCCTGACGCCAACAACAAACCTGGAACTTCCTCTAGTTCCCTCTGCCAGGCAAGTACTTGGGAGAGGCCCCAGAGCATCTCAGGTGTCCCCATTAAAGCCTTGAGCTTGTCTCCTGTCCAAGCAAAGGACTGGAAAGGAGACAGCTATCCAGTCTGGGTCCTGAAGCTAAGGAGGGAGCCCTGTCCCTTGGACATCGTGGCATAGCCTGCCCACTGTGGAGGGTTCTGGGGAGGGGCAGGGGACACAGTTCTTGGGGCAGCCTCAGGGCCACCAGCCCTGTAGCCCCAGGAAGCCAGGGAGCAGGACAGGAGAGGGAGGCGGGTCCTTGGCGTGTGCAAACTCCCTGTGTAAGTCCCTATACCTATGACCAGAACCTATGACCAGAACCTTCCAGGGACTTGCACAAGGGCAGGCACTGCCCCACCTCACCTTGACTCTCTCCCTTGCATTTACTTGTGTTCACCCAACAGGTGCTTCTGGTATCTTCCATCCTTTCCAGAGCTAGTGGCAGTGGCTGGCTGACACCTTACTGCTGAGGCAATAAAGGGCTGAACCCATAGTGCAGCTGTGCGTCTGTTCTACAGAGCC